GAATAGAATATTTTAGTATTTTCCTGAGTGTTTCTGCTCAGGACCCTAACCCTAACCATTATCATTTCCTAATACCGCATTTACTGAATTACTCTTAGTTCATTCTCAAGAAATTTAAACGTACYTTTTCTTATGCTTATTTATAATATTCCTTTTCTAGTCGTTTAGGAGCCAATTTTATTAYTTTATGTGATGCAACCTGCATCTATCTTTCCTTGATTCATTTGATATAAATAATCCGAAGGTAAAGCTATGTGTAATTGTGAGCATGCTCAGTGCTAGACATCAATCCACATCGAACTGTGAGATTCCATGCCCCGATATAAATAGCTGATTTCACTCTCTATTGGATAAGAAGTTTGGAAGTGTTTGTATAAAGTCCAAAAACAATTTTCGCGTAACGTTCTTAAGCAGATGACGTAAGAGGATTGATAAACGTTTAATTATCGATCTGCTAACATCTTAGTGAGCGAGTGACACATTTGCATATTCAGACCCCTCACGATAACTTGTTTCTACGCTTCGCGTATCCACGAGTTCAAAACCATATCGAGCTCTTAACATGAGATAATTTCTATGTATCATACGGTCACATTGCTACGTTTGGTTCAACATATTATCTTAACGGTAAAAAGTGACGGATAAAAATTATCAATTTTATTCAACATCTAAGTAAATGACGTCATTTACTCAAACCTGTTGTTCTTTTCGCTTTTAAACCAAACCCAGGCTAAAATTTTCACTTATCTGGTTTTCATGATCATAATTGAGTCATATTATCCTTAAATACTTCAATCATTTGGAATTTCTAAAATTGAGGCACTTCCATCCAAGTGCTCAACCCTTTAAAGGCGGTGCATGTTGCTGATATCATTCCCGCACACGAAGCCGGCGTTCTGGCGTTTATCTCTTKGCAATAGAMCTTTTTACCGGTACTCAGGCCAWCTTGAATCCTAATGTTTTAATTAAGACATGGGATGGCGTAGGGGGCAACTATTGTAAAATGTTTTSACTGCACAGCTGTCATTATGTCTTCATATAACTTTAYGCTTTTCAATGATAAGCACATCTAAAAACCAATTGAATTTACTGGTAGTTGGAACAATATGCCAAACACCAAGACTTTCAAAACCTAACTCCGCCACTCTATATTTTATAGATATTCTACGTGTTTGTCCCCTCGGCATTCCATAATCCAAGATGACCACCGTATCRGTAAAACGGTCTATTCTTTCGCGCTTTTATCACATTTTGCGTGCGGTATAACTGAACAGAGCATGGCACACATTGTAGGTAATAAACTCTTAAAGCTTCGGTTTAATGTTTTTCAATTTCCGACGACATGCCATTCCCTTCAGAATAAGTTTCTTTGTTTCAGTCGTAACCATATTCACGTGTCTTCTCGTGCACAGCCGTCAAAAAAGAAATGATACTTTAAGGAATGACACGTGTGTGAAAAAATAATTACGCGCAAGCCGAATGTCTATTGAATAGAAGAAACCTTCCCGCTTTTCACTCATTCATTTCCATTTTCTTTCAAATCACTGGTCGCTCTTTCTCTCATTCTCTCCCTTCTACTTTTCAAACCCGCACCACTGTACATNGTGCGGTATAACTGAACAGAGCATGGCACACATTGTAGGTAATAAACTCTTAAAGCTTCGGTTTAATGTTTTTCAATTTCCGACGACATGCCATTCCCTTCAGAATAAGTTTCTTTGTTTCAGTCGTAACCATATTCACGTGTCTTCTCGTGCACAGCCGTCAAAAAAGAAATGATACTTTAAGGAATGACACGTGTGTGAAAAAATAATTACGCGCAAGCCGAATGTCTATTGAATAGAAGAAACCTTCCCGCTTTTCACTCATTCATTTCCATTTTCTTTCAAATCACTGGTCGCTCTTTCTCTCATTCTCTCCCTTCTACTTTTCAAACCCGCACCACTGTACATCCTAGACGAGGTAGATGCAGCCCTCGATCTCTCACACACCCAGAACATCGGTCAAATGGTGAAATCCCACTTCAAACATTCCCAGTTCATCGTAGTCTCACTCAAAGACGGCATGTTCAACAATGCCAATGTTCTCTTCAAGACCAAGTTCGTTGATGGCGTCTCCACAATAACTCGCTATGCGCAGAATCCATCWAGCCGTGGAGGYGACCATACAACGGGCAAAACCGTTGGCAAAAGTCAAGATAGTTACGACGCCACAAAAGCTGACCACCACTCAGTCTTTAACRTCTTCCTAGATCTAMATCTTAGCGACCCTATACAAAAATCTATAATTTCTTAAAATATAGCAGGGTTTGTGTTGGTTAAGTTCTTGGGTTACAAAACAGTAGGAAATGAGACGTGGCAGCCATGTTGGAAGATACCTCCGATCCAACATGGCGACTATGATGTCATATCAGGAGTGTGCRATCGGGTTCTTTTGGCGCATGATCAGCAATGTSTCAGTTATTTAATTAACAAATTTACGATGGTTTAGCGTGGTATGTCCTCTTATTTACCACGATATGACGTCAAAAGTTGGTCAAAATGTTATGGACTCACGAGGCGTAAACCGAGTGGGTCCATAACTAATTTTGACCAACGTTTGGCGTCATATCGTGGTAAATAAGAGGACATACCACGCTCAACCATCGTAAA